ACTTCTATTCTATGGGTCAAGTTGTCATTAGTGCGTGACACGGAGTGACAGGAGGCGGCAGCTGTCTGTCTATGCGGGTGGCTCACTTCACTAAACACGCGTGGCGACCTTGGGTATACACACATCGCGGCATGTCCACAACATCTGGTGTCGCACTATCAAAAATCATACGTAACTTAGTCAGCCGATCACTAGTGGCTTTCAAAGAAGATAAACTCAATAATCATAGACGAGAAATCGGCAGCTACGTGAATTTAGTCCGCAAGTGTACTAGGCAGCTACGTGTACTTTGGATGCTTCGTGTCGTGTACTTAGGCTTCGTGTACTACGAGTTAAGATTGTACGGCCTTGGGAGGATGATTCGGAGTTGAATCAGCAGGACAAGAAGCGCGAAATTATACTGCGTTTGGAAATTCTAGTGACTAAAGCGAGTTTGACATCAAGTCAAAAAAGCCACACTACCATAATATCTAACTCCGGGAGACAAGAAGCTTTCTCCACGAATAGTAACAAATGAAGTGCTCTATGAATGCATTTATCATAAAAATAATTTGATTTAACCCATACCTACGATATTATTTAATTAATTCATTTTAAAGTCACTAAAGTTGCGAATGTCGTGAAAAACATCAGTTCTGCAGCTCAGAAGGTTGTTTCATGTCAGAAAACTAGGTAGCCTTGAGGAAAGATGGAGCCTGTATTGATCAGCATATAATAAGTGCTTGTTACTACAGCATGTAATAAAAGCCTATTACCCGTAGCATGTAATAAGAGCTTATTAACTACAGCACGCAAACCACCAGCACCAGCAGCAGAAGCAATATTAGGTGATGGTAGCCTGAACTTGACATTTCGTCACGCACAGAATTTCACAGTATCTGGGGCGCGAGAAATTGCTAAGTTGTGTTAAAATGCACATTTCCTTGACGTAGGTAGTATATATAGCACCTTAAATAGCTAGTGCATGACAGAATATCGTTCTCTAGGTAAGCAACGATGATGCAGTAAAATGTATAACCAAATTAATCAATATGTAACTACAAGCACGCCCGAATTACGTTAAAATACCAAACTACGATGATTTTTCACGCTAACAAGTGTATTCAATTTGTAAATACATTACTTAAATGATGCGAATCCATACGCTAACATGTATTCACGCCGTGATGAATTATTATGGTAGGAACTGCCGTCTGGTACACCTCTAAGCAAGTAACCCGCACCCTGACAGCAAGTACAGCACCATGCAGGGCATAAGCGCAAAACTGATGCAATAGATGGCTGCTTACCGAATATGGTTAGCTTATGTCACCTGGGTAAGTGCTTAATTTCACGCATAGTTACAGTAATAAAGTAATGTACATTTAGCACCTCGATAAGTGCTTAGTTTCACGCATAGTTACAGTAAGTAATAAAGTAATGTATATTTATCAATATGTATCAATGTTGACAATTCGTAAAATGAGTATTGTGGCGTGTAGAAAAAAGCTTAATTAGATGTGAGCAATGTACATGGCAGGTATGAGGTAATATTTAGTGATATTTACTATTTAGTAAAATGTATCAATGTTGATAGCAATATAGGGAATAGGGATACAATCCATAAGTTAATTAAGCGCATTAAATTCCATAACAAGTTGAAAAGGAAATGATGTAAGCTACAGCTGAGCATGCACTGTGTAACAAGTCACGCTTGTCTGGAGTGAAGGCAGGGCTGGCGAGTGGCTTATAGAAGCCATAGTCAGCACGCATCAGTGCGTCAGTCTAGGCATAGTCTAAGTAGGCTATGCACGAGCGGCGTAGGCTATTTATCGTGTAGCAGTGATTGCTGTAAAAATAACAAGCTTAGAGCAGGACGTTAGGACTAAAGTTTAGGGATTTCTGGACTGGACTTAAGTGATCCTATGCCAGATATTTATTACTCTGAAAATTGCGATCATTATGCAGATGTTACATTATAACCTCTGAATTTAGAAGCATGCAATTGAGATTACAGCATACTTAAACAATATTTTCTTACAGGAATTTGATGGTACAAAAAAACAGATCTAAAATATTTTACTAATTCGAGTATGCTGCAAATAGTAAAACCTATTCCATAAGTTAAGGTCTGAACTCAGACTATTAAAAATAAAATTGATGTGTAAATCCAAAAAGTGCACTTGCCATAATCTCCTGATGTTAACTGAATAAGGAAAAAAGTCAAGTAAACACTCTTTTACAGCTGTGATAGCAAAAACTATAACAAATAGCAATAAGTTGGTAAAAGACCAAACAGTACCTAGGGATATTTGATCAGTCCGACTAAATATCCACCTCATCTGACAATATAATTTGAAGTGGTAAACTAGAAAATATTTATGTAAAGTTTCTCTTAAATTCATACAATTTGTGTAACATAAATACCATTATTCTAATGCCCACAATGCTAAGTATAATCTCCAAATTGTCAAAAAATCTCATATTGAGCAAATATGAGATGGAAATGCAAAGAGAACAAGTAATCAACATTGCAGATTTTATCAACTCTCTGCCAGTTCTGGACAAAGTGTGGACTATTGGGTTAAATTTACCAACAGCAAAATATAAATGATCATTTCATTGGTTATTTTAGGTAATTTCAGGCAAAAATATGTCACTTAATTGCATTGGGAATTTAGAAAAAGGGCATGGACATAGGAGAATTGTCCATGGGGATGGCAGGTCCAGGCTCCTTAGTGTGTGGCTTCTGAAGTTATATAACTTAGATAATGTTATGTAGAAAAGATGCCAATACGTTGACCTAAAAAGTTCATCTTTCTAAACTGGCATGAGAGTAAAGCATTGCTATGACCATGCCATGGTCAAACTAAAAAAATGTAACTCAGTACTCACTGCAGTGAGTGATAGATAGTGCATTTTCTCGTTGATGAAAACGTGAAGTCACGGATGGACAGACAGACATGGCAAACAGCCAAGCACAATAGTGCATTTTTTCATAAATGTGAAAATGCGCTAAAAAAAACTTGCAGCAAATTGGATGGGACCACACTTGATCTATCTGGAAAATACAAACCACTATTCCTAAATTCCCCCCCCCCCTATTTTCCGCACAAATGGGAACTTGATCAAATGTTTCCCTTAAATATGCCCTTTCCTTTTACCATTTCATGGGCAAGCATAAAAATGTACAAAGAGAAATTGTAACAAATCGTAAAAATGTACCGTACCGTACCATATATTGTAACATAAGGCTTAGGCTTAAATGGGAAAAAAAATTTTCTACCTAGCTCCCAGTTTCATCCAAACTGAATATGAAGCTTATCTAAAATATACAGCTGAATTGTCAAAAAATTGTGGGTAAGGCTTGTTTCATTGGTAATTGTAAAAAATTGCTGTTGTTGTTGTATGCGTTGTTTGTCCATTATTTTAACCAAAAAAATAAAGCAAGTGCCAGAGAAAAGTGTGAGCTCTCATTGAGCACGCAGTTTGGTCTCATAACTCTCGTTCATGGGTAGCTTCTGTCCCATTTTGCAGTTTGAGATAAATTAGGGAAAGACCAAACTTTTTGCTAAAGTATTACAGCTTTAAAGTCACCAGTCACGTAAAGTCAAATCTCAAGGCCCAATCATGCAGTTATACAGCCTTACAGACATAGTCTGGAGTCTGGACTCTGGACTCTACACTCTAGCATGGAATGTTCTGACTTTTCAAGCCCTAAGTGGAAAAAACGCGACTTCAGATGGATTAGTTCGCCTGTTAATGAATTCCGTAGAGGGCTTAGGCGGCGAAAAATTGGCACTAATTCCGCAAGATGCACAAAATTGATAATGAATTCAAGACGAATTCCGCAGCGCAATCAGCAAAGCGAAATCCGCGCGAAGTTCGAAGCTAAGAAGAAAATACGGAAGCCAGACGCACGATCGAACAGAAGCTACTGGACCAGGAGCAACGTTCATGTTCGTCGACCCACTCAACCGTGGTATTGCTCGAGAAGCAAATATGACGTGAACGCAAGCGTGAACGCGATGTACGAATACCGCCCTTCGGCTTACCAACACCAAGTACGAGAGTAATGAGACAACTAAAAAGGCAACGTAATGAGTAATCTTTTTTTAGACGAAATTGAGATGTTAGTTGTTTAAATGATGAATCGTGAAAACATAGCAATTCCGTGAGAATGTTCAAGATCTCTTACAAAATCCGTGCAATGGCGGTTCGGTGTAATTCCGTGAGAATTTTGAAAAGCAGTACTCCTGATCATTACCTTAAATTTCCAATCGGGTTTCAAGCCATAAAGATTTATAGCTATGCAACCTTTTTGGAGCTGTAAAATTCCCACTAGATGAATTATTTTCTGTCTAATTTTTACTAGGGATGCAGGACTGGGCCACAAGATTCTTAATCTAAGTTATCAAAGATAAGCCATTATGATTATGATTAATAATATTAATATAAGATGAGAATGTTTCCTATCTTACAGTTATATATATAAATAATCCCATACGAAATGAATTTTTAAGAATTTTGTAGCTCCTAAAACAGCAAAAGTTACTATTCATAACATAGAAAGTAGAAATTCTCCAATAAAAAATATCTAGGGGGCCTATTGCAAATGTGGAGAATTTCCAGATCTGCCATAGACTGCCAGTGCCAGATGACCATGAAAATGTTTAAGCTCTTCAAGAAATACTTGAATGAGTTGAATCATTAGCATACCATGATCAAATTTGTAGAGTATATTAGCAGTCTAGAGTCTGGCAAGATAAATATTAGTATTTCTTAAATTACCATCATTACAATTTTTAAAGTAATAGTTTCAATAGGGGCCTAGGTAGCCTAGTCAAATTCAAAATGCAAGAGCCTCCAAACATCCGTTTTGGCGTTTTCACCTGTACAGTCGCGGCCATCATACCGTTGCATTGTCCTTCATTAATAACAGATAAGAAAGAAAATACTAAAGCAACTGCAGCAGCAATACTAATAATGATTTTAAACATTAAAAATTGATAGAAACATACCTTTGAAGTGATCATCATAAGTAGAAGTATTGAAAATAAAACATGGAAGTGTTCCGCTTTTCTGACACGAAGCATTGATCTGTATTTGGCATACTCGCCACCAAGGCTAAGTTTAGAGGATAAAAAACTACAACTCATTTTAACTAATCAGTTTGAGCACTAGTTGAGTGAATCAGCATCTAGTTACTTTTCAAACCCGATGCTATGGGCCTATGAGAGATAAATAAGTGACCAACTAGAAATGAAAGGCTACGTTGCTACACACAACCGTCACTTAACCGAGTCAAGTCACTACTGAAAGCAGCATGAAATCCGCAGCTACTGTTATGTAGCCTCTGAAGTGTCTAGCCTCGCCGTGATAATAGAGCGGCCTCATTCCTGTGAATGGGATCTTTTTTCCTGCAGATTTGTGAGATTACTAACGAATTTTTTTAATAAAGACGTCTATACATTAACAACCTCTAAATCTCACACGGAAGTAGATTTAAAGTGGAGACGTCATCTTTAGCACGCGCGCAATTGCTTATCTTGAAGAGCATTGGCATTGGCCAAGCAGAAAGAGATAATTTGGTTTATCGTAAAAAAGCCAGTTATTTCCCGTGAACTGCATTAAATTAGTCGAAAAATGCGAGTTTCATCCAAATGAATTCCACATTGTATTCTATATCCGATGGGTGTGATTCTAAATTTTTACGTCAACGATTCCATCGTTTGAGCAAATTTATATCTACACCTAATCAAAAATTTATTATCATTACACGATTTTTTCACGTAAAAATTTTTCACTATTATTTCACGTTCTTTTCTTCAGGTATAAAAAGAATCGCGAAGAAGTTGTGTGCGCAAAAACTTCTAACTAGGTTATTTTATGAATTACATCGCTATGATTTTCATTAAAATACAATTAATGCAGCCGTATATTTCACTGTTACCCAGGTGAAGACGGTTTTTTTTTCATCGTTAAAAATATTTATTTATGTAATATTTGTTTTTTATCAGATTTTCGTTTATTTCATTCCTTTCAATTGTCAGAATCAAACGTACGTATCAGAAATTTCGCCTCAAATGCAGCACGTGGCTTGATTTTCTTCAAACACGAGCAAGAAGTGTTGCTGTGTACTGTTTAGAGTTTGAAACGTTCCATACATAAAAAAGTCGTAATAATTAGTCCTTATCCGCACATATTGGTGTGTATGGATTATGGAATACAGTCACTAGAAGTATCAAATATTTTTTTTATGAATAGTCATCAGCTCAAACGGAAGAAGTTTTTGGCGTGGATAAAGGTGAAATTTTTTGTTCGGCCCAGGTGTTGCATTTCATCGTAAATCGCGCAAGCTGATTATACTCCCATCGGGGAGCACAGCCGTGCGCCACCAATTTTGTGCACCAATAAGCCCTGAATCGAACGCCTTGGATCTCTCCGGACATCCACCAATCAGCCGTGAACCACTCGGCCTTGTCTTCCTCAGGCCTCGCATAGAACCTGTCGTGCACCACCAGGCCGCGGCTCGAATCTGACTTCCGGGCATCGTTAAATTACGTAATTTTACGTTCACCGCATTTGAAGTTAGGTTTCAGATAGCATAGTTCTGTTCAAAAATTTATCGTCCTTCGACAAGTGGCCGTTCGACCGAGGGCTAGCTGGTTCGACCCACGGCCTAGATATGGACGGCTTGAAGTATTGAAGGCTACGTTCCGGAAGGCAGGAATCATGATGGTCCATTACAGCCAGGGCAGTTGTGGGCTTCGGCAGGCGACCCCTCCCATCTTATCAAAAACACCACTCATGACCAAGATTTCCAAATCTCTTTGTACGAATTGTATGTTCCGTACAGTCACTACGTACCAACGATGGTAGCTACCCGCATGGTTGAACCGTCGTCGACCACTAATACCATTATAGCTCATAATATTCTAGTATGCAGTATTAATAGCCTCTTATTTTACGCAATTTACTAATTATTATGGCAGGAACTAAATTATTTCTTTGATTTTAACGGTTGATTGCTGGAACCAGGTAGGTGGCGTGTGCTTATTGTTGAAATATATAAATAAAAAATAGCTGTGTTGGCGTTGAAATATTTTCCATGCGCTTGACGACGCTTCTGAACATATAAAAAATGTCACAGCTTCTTACGTGTCTCGAACAAGCAACTCGTTGCTCCAATATCAAATGGTCGCCCGGCCACCTCTAACACCAAACTTCCACAGTTCGTCGCTGATACCGAACCCAAAACTCACTGCTACCATTTTTATGCTCTAAACTTTAACTACTCTTGCCACAAATCATTGTCAAATTAATTTGATCACAGCAGTTAGCAGTACGTCTATTAAAGTTATCCCAACAAGATCTAGATGTAGGTTCGACGCTGAAATTGGTACCGCCTAGGGCTCGGGGAGCACGTAAATCAGCCGCTCACTGTCCAGCCGCTCATTGGGTTTGAAGGGTATAGCCTCAAGAAACTTTTTAAGCGAGTATAGCGACTCCGGGACAGAAGCCTACTTGTAGGTTGTAACCGAATTTTGTTAGTGTAGGTAATACCGGCCTGCTGATCTAGCCTCTCTCTCTAGCAACGGCAGTTCAAACAGATTCAGAATTAAAACCACAGTAGTCAAGAGGCAGATTCGAGCATTTATTGAATCTGACCATCTGGTGGCTCCGGAAGAAAGAGTGAGGCGAGAGTCGGGAAACGGAAATCAAGAGCTCGGAAGGCGAGTGGCCAGCAGGCTGGCCGATGGTGACATAAGGGGGGCTGGGC